GGGAGGATGGGAGGGAGAGGGAACTGGGATTGACATGTAAAACAAGCTATTTAAAATTAAAATAAAAAATGATAAAAAAAAGAAATAATGAACATACATTGGCTTAATTCTCTTATATATTCATACTAATTACGCTTAATATTTGTCTCATTTTTAGTTTGAGTTATGTTCTAGATAAGAAGTAGTTTTGAATTTTGCTACTTTAATACTGTCCTGATTTAAATCCCCTCATTCATGATGTTAGATCCTTGAAAGATCCGTCCAGAAAACTGTTTTACACTAGAATTAAAATGGTTCCCCCAGCTGGGCTGGATGGTGCATGCCTATAATTCTGGCAACTGGGAAGCTGAGGCAGGGACATCATGCATTTGCAGCCAGCCTGTACTATATAGCAGGACCCTGTTCCTAGAAACAAACAAACAAACAAACAAACAAAAAAACAATATGCCTCTTCTTGTCTCAGTGATCCCTCAGACAGAAGTGTGACAAGGCTGTCACAGTGAGGGCCCTTCCTAAGGCCCAGAACCTTGAATTTGGATTAAACAGACAAGGAGACTACCCAAGCTATGCTCACCGCAGGCTCCAGGTTGATTTCCTCTTCAGGATAAATGTAGAAGTCTTTAGTCCATGATTGCTCCTGATCTGTTTCCAAGCTCATTTCTGTTAGGTCTCAGGAAGCACACGTGTCCAGAAATGACAGTCTTGGCTCAGCTTCAGCAGGACTATAGAAGAATTTCTGATGGTTAGATAAAAGCCAGCATTCCTCAGGACATATGGCTCTCCAATGACATATACCTGTGATTGAATATGAAAGTTCATGCTGGTCTCCAGGCTCCCCAAGTCTTTGTTCCCAAGTACTTTGAAAATCTCAGAGCCCTCACGCTAGTCTCCTGGCCCTTCTCACCTCCCACACTCCTCCTGCACTATGCAACCAGAACCTCACTATCTTTATAATGGCAAGTACGTATGCCCCATGCCCCATGCCTGCTAGTCTCCCTTTCAGATAGCCCTAGCCATGTCCATTCTGCTGCTTCTCTCTGCTCTGAACTCTGCCAGATGCCTCTGGATGCTTTTCCTCTCTTCTCTACACTAAAACCTTCCCCCCAGTCATGGAGCAGCTATGTCAGTCTTCCCTTTACTGTGGCCCTCAAATACAAGCTTTTCTGCTTCTAGTTGATTCTTTGAGCCGTGTTGGCATCACCTCTGCCAATCTTTATAAAAATATCCTCTTCTCATTTGGGTTGTCATCAAATGTATCCAACCAAATAATTCTAAGGGACTCGTCTGGAAAACTGTACTAGTCCCTGAGTCTCTCACTTTTTCTTTAGAAAGAAAGCTTCGGGTTCTACAAACATATGGAGTTTGGTCTCTGTTAATTATTATTAGACACTTTTTTATTTTAATCAAGTGTGAACGTATAACATATATGTACCACATATTACTTGACAACAATAGTAAATAACCATGTTTATGTATAAACTATACTGTAGTTTTCATTGCCAGAGTACCTGAATTTACTTAAACAAGACACTTGTAACAGGCAGCAACCTTACACATCTTGGCTTCATTGGGTTTTTTTAATCTCACTCATGAACCCTCACACTCAAGTTGATAGCCTCCTTTTCTTTGATTATCTTTGTTACATACATATATATGTATCTATATATATATATACATATGTGTGTGTGTGTTGTGTACAGATGATACAAGTACAACATCTATGCCCATTCTTCTTTGATTATGCAACACAGGAGTTCATTCCTGGGAGAGGTTAATTCTCTCTCCCTGGCAGTCATTAGCTGCCCACAGTTATTGTCTAAGGATGGGACCACATGAAATTTCCCCTCTTCTGCATTAGCATGTCTATTGATACAGTTACTCTGGTCTTGTTTATGTAGTCATTTCTAGGAGAGGCTGTTTCACAGCAGACTTTCTGGTGTTCTGGCTCTTACACTCTGCCCCCCTTCTTCAATGAGCCATAGACTCAGGAGCTGTGTTGTAGTTGTAACTATTAGGGCTGGGCTCTACCTCTATAGCTTCATTATGTCCATTTGGAGTTTTCTGTGATGGTCTCCATTTGCTGTAAAGAGAAACTTCTCTCATGAATAACTGCATTTAACTGTGGGTATAAAGATAGTTTTTCAAAATCTCATTTTAATGGCTGTTCAATAGATATTTTTAAAGAAGATGTGACAAAGAATGGCAAAGAGAAAGAGAAAGGAGAGAGGAAGGGAGAGAGTATCCAAGTTTGGCGAATTGAAAGGAAGTGGTCTCAAAACTACACAACTGAGAACCAAAGAATGCTGGGAACGGGAAAACTCCTCTCCCTTAGGGTGTGGCATACCAATTGGTTGTTCAACAGCAAAATGTCAACCCTGAAAACATACAAGTAACATATAGACTAAACATATAACCTCAAAAATAAATAAAAAAATAAATAAATAATAAAGGCAAGCATGGGCCTTGGAAAACAATACCATGTGAACGAACACCTTTAGTTAAAAATGAGTTGTGGATGATCATCATAACGACCTTACCCCTGTTAGGTATATGGTATCTCTAAAAGAACAAATTATAGCATAGGTATTTTATGAGAGAATTGAGGAATATTAGTATCTGAAGGAAATTGAAAGACATATACAGAAATACAAAATTAGATATATAAATCCAGAAAAGCTGCTCATAATGCAAGTGAAAAATTGGGCCAAGAAATGAAATCAAGGAAGGGAGTGTGACAAAAGCAGATATGAATAAAATAATTTAATTATTTGAAATTTAATGACATGTGTGGGGTGGAATCTTGCATTTCTATTTAACATTGATTGTCAGTAATGTACACAAAAGAGAAAAGGAGAGTTGAGAACACCATGAATAACCTTCCTGCTTGAATGAAATTTTATCCAGAGCAAAACAAAACTTTCTGTATGTGTTTCCTACTGTGGAAATCTTTCTCTATAATGACTTTATGTGTCCTTTGATTATTTGGCTAGTTAGATTTCCATTACTTAAAATGAGTTTTCCTCTATTTTGCTATTTGCAAACTGAGATCTCTATTACAGACATACATGCTTTCATTAGCAAATCCCCATTAATAGAAGGATTCCATCTCTTGACATTGTGAACCCTCGGTTTTATTGATGCTGCTTTTAGCACGCATCAGCTATATAACTCAGGTCTCTGATTTGCTCATCTGTTTTCATTTTGTGGCATAGCAACTTTACATGTTCAGCCACTGCCAAGCAGAAACATGGATAAGCAATTATCTGTTAAATCAATATCTCCCAGATGCAAGTTATTTAATGTTTTTATTAACCCTTAGAAAGCCATCATTCCTCAGTACCCATATGAAGTAACTATTCAATAAGAAATTCAGCTACTTCACATACACACCATAATTTAAAGATAAAGGGGAAAATGTAAAGCTTTTTTGTGTAAAAAATTCTTTTAAAATTTCTGCATATTAATCTGTGTCATTTACAAAGAAAATTATTCTAAAATCAGGTGCTTAAAATTAATTATTAGAGGTAAATCTAGATAACCAGATGAAATACTATAAGAATCACATATGATTAGTCTCCAAATATAATCAGTACTTCCTTTACTCTACACAATAAGAGAACATAAATATTAAATTGAGAAATAATCTCTCCTTCCTCAAAAATATGCAAACTCTTCTTTCTCACAAGTCCATCCACAAAACCAAGACAAATGAAAAAACTTGCTAATCATAAAACAAGAATAAATTTTAAACTTGATTCTAAATAGCCTTTCGTTGTCATCTAGTTAAGGGAAAATATAATTCTCCCTTTTGCCACTGCAATTCACACTGAACTTATTAAACTGTTTAATTTGTTGTGGATCTTGGAGATTGCTTTGCTTTCTGGCCAATGAAGGTACCATGCAAGAGAAACCAGTCAACAGCACAACACTTCAGTAAGTGTGCTCATATAGCATTTGAGCTTACTGGTCCTATGCAACTGCAAGATGGCTCAGCAGGAAAAGGCTCTTGACTACAAGCCTAACAACCTGAATTTGATACTCAGGACACAAATGGTAAAGGAGAGAAATGAATCCTTCAAGTTCTCATCTTAGCTCTGGTACATGCATAGGCCCACAAACGCATAAACATATTCAAATAAGTAAATAAGTCCTGTTTTTAAAGGCTGTCTTAAAAGTAACTATAGCTATAACACATTGGTAAAGGATAAACATTGCAAAAGGAAACACAGATTTTGAAATCAAAATCATAGAAGGTAGCAGTGAAGCAAAGACGTGGAGAGGCCTTTAAATAAGAAAGAAGCAAAATTGTTACTAAGCATTACTGACAGGAACTAAAATAGAGAATATTCTAAGGGCACTACTAAAAAATTTAGAACAGTAAAATAAATTCAGAAAAAATACAAAATCACTATACCAAAATCAGAGCATTCTACATAATAATAATGAACTGTCTCAAAAGGAAATTAAGAAAATAGTCCTATTTTATGATATAAACAATGAAATTAAATACTTAAACATAAATTTAGCCAAGGAGATAATGACCTCTCTAATGAAAACTACAATACACTTATAACTGATGAGGAAATTAAAGAAAACACAAATAGATATGTTTCTCATGGTCATAGATTGACTCAACAGTGTGAAAATACTAGCCAAAATTACCTACAGATATAATGCAGACTGCATCAAAATTCCAAGGTCATTTTCTCTATAAGAAAACCATCCTTTACCTTTGTAAGGAACCACAAAAGACACAAATAGCCCAAGAAATATTGAACAAAATACAGAATGGAAGGCATAAAATTAATAGATTTCATAATATTTAATACTATGAGTGTAATTTAAATGGCATGATACCAGCATAAAAATAGATTCGTCAATCAATTGAGCAGGATAGAAAAAAAGAGTGGATGGGGGAGATGGTAGGGAGAGTGGGAGGACAGAAGGGAAAGGGAACTGGCATTGGTATGTAAAATAAGATTGTTTTTAATTTAAATAAAAAATTAAAAAAGAAATTACCAATAGTTGACCTTTAACCAAAGAACTAATAATACACAAATGCAAAATGATGGTGTCCTAAATACAGAGAACTATGAAACTGGTTGTGTTCATGGATAGAACTAAAGTCTAATCTAGTAATACATGCAAAAATCAACCAAAACTGGGATAAAGACTTACATATGAGACCTCAACTGTAAATTATTAAGAAAGAAGCAAAAAGCACTGAAGCATTGGCTGTTTTTGTTGTTGTGTTATGCTTTGTTTTGTTTTTGAGACAGAGTTTCATTATGCAACCTTAGATGGACTAGAACTCACTATACAGACCAGGCTGGCCCCAAACTAAGAGATCCCACCTGCCTCTGCCTCTCAAGTACTCTGCTCACAACAGGTTTAGACAATTCTTAGATATGACCCTGTAATCATGGGAGACAGAAGCAAAAATAATTAAATGAGTTCACATCAAACCAAATGCTCTTCAAAGCATAATGAATGATTAAAGTGAACACACAACCCCACAGCGGAAATAGCTACAAATGTATGGCTGATAAGGTGATCATATCTTAAATATATAGGGAAATCAACTCAATAGCAAGGAAAAAATCCGACTTACCCATGAGCCAAGGAAATGAACTTGTATTTCTCCATAAAAGAAGTATAAATGACAAATAGACCATGAAAAAAGTCTCAGCATCACTAGTCATTAGAATAATACAAGTAAAAGCATGAAGTGATATAATCCTGCATCTATTAGAAAGTCTTTATCAAGAAGAAAAACCATAGCAATTATTCAGGGGACTGGGGGAATGGAAATTCTCCTATACAGTTTCTGAAAACATAAATCAATATAGACATTCTGGAAAATGATGAGGAGAGGCTCCTAAAAACCCAAAACAGAATTTCTACATAATGTAGTAATCACATTACTAGATATATATCCGAAGGAGCTGAAACCAATGTGTTGAAGGAGTGCATGCACCCATGTTCACTTCAGGGCTATTTACAACAGGCAGCATGTGAAATTAAATAACATGTACATCTGTGTGTAAACTGCTATAGAAAATGCAACATGTATACATAGTAGGATATACTGATTAGCCATAAAAACAGGGAAATTATGAGACTTGTGACAACACAGATAAATTGGGACATGGCCATTATGGTAAATATAATTATCCAGAAACAGAAAGTCCAATCACCTATGATCTCACTGTTATATGAAATCAAAGTTAAGTTCATAGGAGTAGAAAATGGAATGATACTTACCAGAGTCCATAAAGAGGAAAAGGCAAGAAATTGGGGCTAAAAATCAGGGAAGGGTCCATCAAAGGGGACAGAGTTTCAGATAAGAGACCAGGCTTTGAGATACATTATATATGTGCATACTATAATTACGATATATTACAGATTTCAATATAAACATGAGACAACTCCAAATGTCTTCCTATAAAAATTATAACAGGTAAGCACAATGATGGATATGATGCTCAGTTTGATTTAGGCATTCTATGTTGCGTAAATGTGTCAAAACATCACATTGTATCCCATAAATGTAAATAATTACAATCTACCAATCAGGAACAATGCTGACACTAATTTTTAAAAGACTGTGTTTTCTGCTGGTGTCTGAGATTTTTGCACAACATTGTCTTGATCACTGCCATCTGCAAGTTAAATCTGAATGTCTTGGTCAGGCTCCCAATGTCCTTGTCTTGTCGTCCTTGTCCATCATTCAATCTCTAAGGTCTTCACATCGCATGCTGCATTCCAATTCTACACAAAACAAACAAGAGTCATCTTGTTGAATCCCTAAGAAGTAGACCTCACTCTAGACTCTTCTTTATTGCACATGCTGTTCACTCTACTCACGAGTTCTACCCAAGGGCCTATCCGATGAGTCTTTTTACAATGTACAGAAAGGGAGGCAAATGTGTCCTCCCATCTTACACTGTAACTAATACAGAATCGTATGCCATTGCTAGTGCCTCCCTCTTGCCTAATAAGTAGCCTATAACAGTTTAGCTAATAACCTTGCTATACCCATTTGTTTGTGTGTTATTGCAATTTCTTCCTCATCTGCATAGAAACCTCTGTAGCTGGATTCTCTATTTTCTATTCTCTGAAGTCAAACTCAGTAACTGGAAAAGTAGCTGCAACTAAATGAAGTTTTAAAAGGAGTGAAAGGATAAAATTTGCTAATTCTAAGATAACAACATAATTGTCACCTAAGCAAGTCCTGTTAGCTCATTTAATTACCTTCAAATTGTCTCTCTTCTAGCCTCTTTTCTCCATCCTTTGCAAAATGGAAGGATGTATACTCTTTAAACCTCCCTACCAAGGATCCTAGTCTTAGTGAGACTATGATAAATCAATCTGTTTCAGAAGTAAAAGAGGGGAGACAGAGAGAAGCTAAGTAAGTCACTTAAATAGATTCTGTTTGCTAAGGTCTATTTCTAACGTGCTCCAGTATTAATCTAGACACTGGGAGATCCAGGTAACAAGAATAAAAAACACTAGGACCATGGAAGCAAGTGGAGAAGAGTCTGGGCATGACACCAGACAGTTCCGTGTACAGAGTAGGCTTACAGACAGGTCCTGTAAGATGTGTGAGAGCCGGCCCCAGGGAAACAAGAATGCAAGAGGCATCCTGAGAGCTGCTCAAGCCCCAGTAACAAGTCAGAGAGAGATCTGTCAAGGAGGTGCAAGGGATGTTTTGCATGACACTGGTGCTGCATCTATTATTCAGTTAACACTGGAACTCACAGTCAGGTATTACTGGATGTGACCCTGGCTCTGGTCTATTGCAGCTACACCCATCAAATATTCCCTGGAGACTGGTGTCATAATTTTCTGAGACTCCTCCCAAGTGTGAACCCTGCTTCTTATTCTTGCTGACACATTTGGATCTCCAACTAGATAAGGTCATTGTTGAGCTTAAATCCTACCTCCAAAGTAAAGAACAGATCCCTATCAAAAATAAATTCAGATTCATTGGCATCAAATTCCCTTTAAGGAAACTATGTTGGTGTGAAAAAGTACTGTTTCTAACTAGGTCAACCCAATGGGAAACAAAAGGGAAAATTATGTTTGTTCTAACTTGGTCACCCAAAGGGTTTATCATTTCATAAAAGTTAAAAAGAAGCTTTTATATAAAATTTCAATTAAAAAATAGTATTTCATCAGAAAATTGGGTCTTGTAAAATAGTTTGTGTATTTACTTATAAAATATTCTGCAACATATTCCACATGTATCCCAATTTATTGCATACATTATCCTTACACAGATGTTTTTAGAGAACACTGTCTATTAGCATAATTTTATAATCTTTTTTTTTTTTTTGGTTTTTACGAGACAAGGTTTCTCTGTGTTGTTTTGGAGGCTGTCGGTCCAGCCCAGCCTGGAACTCACAGAGATCCACCTGCCTCTGCCTCCCAAGTGCTGGGATTAAAGGTATGTGCCACCACCGCCCGGCAATTTTATAATCTTAAAAATCACAAATAATGACCTATTAAGATGCTTACCTAAAGGTCAACTGATGTATTGTGCCATATTTATATTTATAAACCAAACACTTAACATTCACTATTTCTACATATCCTCAAATGATACATAGAGTTTATTCATTATCCAGCAATATTTTTCAAAGAAATAAATCAAAAGAAACAAGTTGTACTGGCTACTCAGTCCCAGCACTCAGGAAGCAGAAACAGGCATATCTCTGTGAGTTCCAGGGTAGCCTGGTCTACAGAGTAAGTTCCAGGACAGCTAGAGCTGTTACACAGAGAAACCCTGTCTCAACAAACAAAAACAAAAAAATTAAAAAAGGAGAAAGAAGAGAGGGAGAGGAAAAAAAGAAACAATTTATATTTAAAGACATTTCATAAACTCCAGAAAATTTACCTGATGCACAAAAAGTCACAAAATTCATGTGGGAAACTTATCAACTTGTAATAGAAATTACATTCCATTTTTTCTGCATCAGTATTAAAAATGAAGACATTCCTATGCACGTGTGTGAGTGTTTTTGAGAGTACATATATATGTGTAAGTGTCCTGTATTAGTGTTCGTGTGTATGTGCACACATGTGTATGTGCATATATATATACATATACATATATATATTAGTGTTCACGTGTGTGCATGCATTCATGCATGCATATACCTGTGCATATGGGTTGCAGAAGACAACCAAAAGTATTATGATCAGAAATTCCATTCATTTCCTTTGAGACAGAGACCCTTACATACCTGGAGTTCATCAATGAAGCTGGACTGGCTGACTAATCAGCTCTTCACTTTCCAGATGTATTACAGAAACCCACCACAGGGCCAGGCATTGCATGGGTTCTGGATATATACTCTGGTCCTTCAAGCACTTTTCTGACTGAGCTGTCTCTCTAGCCCCACAATCTTTTATTGAGACAGAATCTCACTCCACACGTGTAGGCAAGCCTAGAGCTCACTACATAGCCCAGGCTGACCTTAAATTCACAGCAATCCTCCTGCCTTAGCCTTCCATGTTCTGGGATTACAGGTGTGCTCCCGTGTTCTCAACTTCTATATTTCCTAACCTAAAACTCAATAACTGTGCAAGGGTTAAATATGTTGATTGTATCTTGAGTGTAGCCAGGAGACTATTTAAATTCTCTTTAAATGAATTGTGAGGGTAAAGGAAAAAAGTTTCTCTGCAAAATAACTAGGATTTCAAAAGCTAGATGATTATTCCATTAGGTCAGAGATCCACAGCTACATTTATCATTTTCATATGTCTCTTTTCATCTGCCAATATAATTGCCTTGTTATTTACCCCTTTTAGACCACAGAATAAAGTTCAGCACACAAATAAAATTCAACACAGCTAAACATATAAAAGTTGTTTTTACAGACGTTCAAGCTCAGAGCCACCCTGTCCCATCCTGTTCTCCTTTAGAAGAGTCTTAGTCGGAGCAAAGAATGGAAATGGGTCATAAGTCTTCTACAATGGAATACCCACAAGACTGTGATCTAGAAGGCACCCACATCCAAAGATCTAATTACTCAGATGTCTGGCATACATGATTACATACATGTCAGGAGTATTGAGATAGCTCACAAAATTTTTCCCAGTGAATTTTAATTCTGGTTGACATGTGGTATGTGAAAAACAAAAAGCTAGAGACTCTCACTGGCTCCCTGCCCTCATCTCCTTAACCTTTCTCTTGCCATGCCTAATGATGCAACCTGGGACACTGGGACTCTGATTCCTGTTGTGATAAAATACCCTGACAATGCCAACTTAAGGGAGAAATGGATTATATTAGCCAACATTCAGGTCATGGTCCATCACACCAGGCAAGTCACTGTGGCATAAACTTGGGGGAGGTGGTCATCCCGAATCCATAATCAAGAAGAAAAGCCGATGAATGCAAGCATGTCAGTGCTGGGCTTGCTTGCTCTAAATGTGGCTACTCATTCAGTCCAGGGCCCAGACCATGAAATGATGCTGCACACATTCAGGGTAGGTCGTCCAACTTCAAGTAACCAGATTATGAAAAATCTCTGACAGGCATGCCTACAGGCCAACCTCATCTCCTGAAGACTCCCTTCCTGTGTTATTGGAGGTTGTTCCACTTAACAGTTGAAACTAACCATCACAGACTCCATGCCCCCACCTATGTTTGTATACAAGTCTGTACACAAGCATATAGGCTTCTGGGAAAGTGAATTGTACATCCATCACTGTGTAGAATTATCCTTGACTATCAAATCTCACTTTGGCCCATTTTGTGGCAGGTGGGAATGTAGAGCCCTTCACAGGGTGGATCAAATTTGCTCAAAGGGAGGCAGCTCCCATTCGGCCAAGAGCCAGCCCGCCCAGAGGCCACCTGCATCCGAGTCCCATTCTACAACCACGGGACAGACAAGGTAAGCATTGGACTGTCTCCAGCCTGCCTTCATGTGCACTGAGCAGAATCACCATAGACATGGGGACTGTGCAAGACGGATCCCATCCCCGTGGGATTCAGCCCTCCCAGAGACTACCCATAGTCCCTTTCTCCACCCACGGGGCTACATAGGCCTGGGCTATTTACAGCCAGTCTTCCGATGATCTGCACACAACTAGCCAAGGCCAGGGTACCACATACGGCAGCTCCCATCCAAGCGGGAGCCAGCCAGCCCTGACTGCCACCTTCCAAGTCCCATTCTCCAGCCATCAGAAGGTGAGGGTCCAGCCTACCTAGAGATTGCCAAGGTCCTGATACCAGGACCGCTTCCACCCAGGCAAGAGGAAAGCCACCAGGGTATTGGATCTGCTCCCACCCACTGGAAAGTAACCCACATACCTACCAGGAGAGAAAGAGACTCCTGCATCCACAGGAAGAAACGATGGGAAGGAGACAATATAAAAACATACTCAGCAACAGAAAAACCAATATGACACCGCCAGAGACTAGAGACTCTACACTCACGAAACCTGAAAAGCCTATTGCAGATGAAGCAGATGAGAAAGACCTTAAAAACAACTTCATGAAAATGATAGAGGCCCTCAAGGAGGATATGAGAAAATCCCTTAGAGAAATGGAAGAAAACACAAACCAAAAAATCCAACAAATGCAAGAAAAGACAAACCAAAAAATCCAACAAATGCAAAAAAAGAGGAAAAGACAAAGCAAAAATTGCAAGAAACAATTCAAACAGTGCAAGGGTTAAAACACAATAAAAAACACAGTCTAAAGGAATGCTGGAAATAGAAAAGCTGGGCAAACGGGCAGGTACTACAGATGCAAGCAA